ACACTTTTCCTACTTTCAGTGTCTTATGTGTGTGTCTTCACGATCAACTTACATGTACATGGAGAAAAGACAGCAGCTGTCAGCTCCAAGTCTACATACCACCTAAAGGAAGAGGCTATCCGTCCAGATATTTCAGGCTGCCAAGTCCTGGAAGAACTCAGATGAACCTGCTTGGCAATTGGTGCTTCCTCTTAGACTATTTCTGGGTGCTCTGATGGCCTAGCCAGGGTTATATGCCTGACTTCAGATCCCCATGGGAGACAGGAGGATGTGCACTCTAGTCTCTGCTTGAAAACTATAAGATGTAGTTTTTGATAATGTTTTAAATAGGAAGGATGGTTTGTGTTACAATAATAATTTTTTTAAAAATGAGGTCAGGATGTTTGAGATGCAGAAAGCATTCCCCAATTAAAGTTTCACAACTCTGATACTTGTGGTTGTTGGTTGTCATCCACTAATCCCCTCCTCTCCCTGCAGACAGAACCTCTTCTCTCCCTGGCTATCTGTCCATTTCTGACTTTTGCTGTGGAGCTGTCCTCTGGGGCTCTAGAGCAGGGCCTGACTTGTCAGGAGAAGGTCCTTGGAGTATCCTAGAGGGTCTTGACATGCCCTGTAAGCCTGGTTATCTGTCTCCTTCAGACAGTAGGTTGGAATTTGTCCTTATCATTGTGACTGCCCTGTAATTAGATCAGAATCCTGGACTCAGAGAGTCAGGATTATAGGAAATGACCAGGTACCTACGACTCCTGTGCCCTTAGGGTCTGGACTTAGCCCGTTCTTCCGCGAGAGCATTGCTCATGCTGGACTCTCCCGGTCTCGGCCTGACACTTTCCTGCAGTGTTTTCCTGCATCAGAGAACAGATTTCCAGTGAAAAAATCAGGGTGGACTGATAGAATTAGCCCATGCAGGGGCCTGCTTTTTCTTTTAAATACTCAATAGGAACTTTTACTTCTAATGAGCTAAAATGAGTTATGTATGTGGAGTTTCCATTAATGTTATTTCTTTTTTAGATCTTGTCATGGTAAAATATGCACATAATGTACCATTTGCTATTTTACCTAGTTTCAATTCAATGGCATTAAGAACATTCACAGTATTATGCAGCCATCACCATTTCCAGAAATTTCCATTGCCCAAACTGCATCCTCATCCCCATTAACTAGTCACACCCACCCAATTCTCGTTTTCTCTTAGTCCCCAGGCAAACCTTACTCTCCTTTCTGTCTCTGTAGATTTTCCTCTTCTGGACATTTCCTATAAACAGAAAATAGCTTTTTTGTCTGCCTTAGAATATTTTCAAGGCTCATTCATTTTGTCATACATCTGAACTACATTCCTTTTTGTTGCTGAGTTATACTATATTATATACACATACAACATTTTGTTTATGTGTTTATTGTTGATGAACATTTGGGTTCTTTCTACCTTTTGACAGTGTGAAAGATGCTGCCATGAGAATTGTTTATTGTACAATTATGTATTTCAACACCTGTTTTGTGTTCTTTGAGGGTATTTATGCAATAGTTGGACTTTGGGGGTCACATGATAATTTTATGTTAAACTTATTGTGGAAACCAAGAATACTCTAGTGGGTGTGAGGTGGTATCTTATGGCAATTTTGATTCGCAGTTCCCATCTGCCTAATAATGTAAACATTTTTCCCCAGGCTGTGGGCTATTTGTGTATTTTTTGGGGGAGAATAGGGGAGTCACTTAGAATATCCGAAGACTGAAGGCCAGGGGAAGTAGACCACAATCAGTGACTTAGCCCAGTTTGCAGGCTGATGAGACAGGATCCGTGTAGACTGAAGGACCATGGTGCCTGCTGCAGTGGTGTATTTGGCATATGACTAGCCTCCATGGAGGCCTGCTTTGTTTTCCTCTTCTTTCCTGTCACTCTCAGGCTATAGATACCTCTATGTATGCCAGCTAAGTGTCAATTACAGTTATTCCTACCCACAGTCCCTTCCTGATCTGATGGACCCTTAATCAGGATGTGTCAGCTTAAGATGAAATCTCCAAATACCTAGTAGTGCAGTGGCGGTAGGACTGAGAAAATGCCTCTGGTGGCACCTGCATAAGGTGCTCAGTTTCAACACACATGATCCAGGCAAGCAGCTCCCTTCCTTCATTTCTCTGTATGCCAAGGCCTGGTTAGCAATTGAATTGTTGGGTATTGGAGTACTCAAAGAACATGCATAACTCAGCCCATACCTAAAGGTGCTATGAATAAACTCCTTGTTATCGTTGAGGACAACATGACAATAGGGCTACGGTAAATGCCCACATTGCTGGAGAATATTAACCTGAGACTCAGAAGTCTTGGCCTACTAGAAACATTTATGAATTCACTTTAGTCTCAGAACCTCTTACGTTGGGAGACACAGAAGAAAGTAAATTTTCATGTCCCCTCTTGAATCTGATGATGGGATTGTGAGTATTTGTCCTCCACCTGGGGCAATTTCAGTTCAAAGACCACAGTGAGCAGAGGTGAAGCCATCCTGGATACCCTGAAGGCTCTTTCTTCTTGTGACCTTGGTCTGAGCATCTTAACAAGGCAGGGAGAGGGAGACAGCACTTACAGGACAGGGTATCCATCATTAAGGAAGGGAATGAGATCTACTTCTATTTGCCAGTTGGAGTATGCAGGGATTTGACACAGGAAGTGTTCCTGGCCACACACAACCTATAAAAGCTTGACTGTCAATACTGAATGAAATGAGAAATAATTGTGTCTGCTGCAGGAAGTGATTCAAGTTTGGCCCTGAGGCTGGTGAATGGAGGTGACCGATGTCAAGGCCGGGTGGAGGTCCTGTACCGAGGCTCCTGGGGCACCGTGTGTGATGACGATTGGGACACCAATGATGCCAACGTGGTCTGCAGGCAGCTGGGCTGTGGTTGGGCTACCGCTGCCCCAGGAAATGCCCGGTTCGGACAGGGCTCAGGCCAAATTGTCCTGGATAATGTGCGTTGCTCAGGACACGAGTCCTACCTGTGGAACTGCCCCCACAACGGCTGGCTCTCTCATAACTGTAACCACGGGGAAGATGCTGGTGTCATCTGCTCAGGTGGGACCCAGGATCTTCTTGTGGTGGGGTTTCTTTAGGAAGTAATTGTTCTACAATCTTTGTCTCACTCAAGGCATTTCCTTTTATTAAAATTTTCTTAAAGACTTTTCACTTTATATAAGCTACTTGGTGTTGCTCTAGGATAATAACCCAAAGAGAAAATAGTGATCAAGTGTCATCCCTTTGATGCTGTATAAGCCAGAGGTGAAGGAGAAAAACCACTGGTTTCTCCAGGTGTTGTGTTCCTCCCACTGATTGGTACTGTGCAGCGAGAGTGAGATATAGAACAGACATAATTTAGCAGCCCCAAGCAAAGGCTTCTGTCATGCAAGGGAGCTTCATTTAAATTAAGGGAATCTCTGGTGAGACACATAGACTATGGTGTCAGATATGGGATTATAATAACTGACTCATGTTTTGAGGTCCCTGAGTCTTTGAATGCAACTTTGTCTAAAGATCTGTGATTTGCTATGTGTGAGCCAGGTTTGGCATTTAAATGTCAGTTCCTATGAGGCCTGCCATGCAATCTGGTTTCTGCCATGCTCGAAATATAGGATTTGAGCCTGGGGCTGGACCTCTCCATATTGCTGACTTAGTGTTCTCCTGAGACTCACAAGGCAGAGGGTTAGTTTTCTGTGATCTCAGTCACCACATTCACCCATAGTGTTACTCACTTTGACATTGGAAATAATGGACAGGACCTGGCTGGGCCCATAATAAGGAGTGTCCCTCTGGGGTGTTGGATGGCAGAGCATTCATGTTCTGAGACAGGAGATAAGCATTGATGGAGTGTCTGATCTGCTTAGTTTTTTGCATCTTTGTACCAGTTTCCTACCTTCTAATCTCACTTTTTCTTTCTCACAGGTGTGCAGAGCACAACCTCACCAAGGCCAGGTGAGTCATGCTACCTCTTAAGTCATGGGTGTCCCTTTACTCACTATTCACTTCGATCTTCATTGACAAGTAGCTACAGAATAGGAGTGTGGGGTTTTTCTGTTTCTCCAAACCTTCCCTGGGTCTTTAGAATATGGAGGTGATTCCATTTGAGCCCACAACAGGTTGGTCCTCTTGTCTTCCTCCATGAGATAAGATCATTTGGGCTCCTGACCTGGGTTAAGTAATGATAATCACTGAGTGGCTTAGGTGGCAGAAGGAGGATGTGACCTTGACAATTTCTTATGGAAAACTACTGTGGTCTGAGAATCCCATGGGTAGAGTCAGTGTGGTGGGGAACATCTGAGACTTCTCCTGTCATAGATCCCAGGCTAAGACAAAGTAATTCTTTGACCAAAGAACGATCTGTCAGATGAGAACTGTCAGTATCTGATGGAATTGCACACTCTCTCTTTGCGATTACTGTGGACATTTGAGGGCATGGTTTGCTCACTGCAAGGTCTCTAGAAAAGATCGTTCTCTTCCAGCCATAGAACTTTGACTCCTCTGTCCCTGAGCCCAGTTACATGACAGTAGACCCAAAGTTTATTCTCCTCCCTCCTTTTTAATTGGCCTTGTTTTGTTTTGTTTTGCTTTTTCCTCTTCTCCAGATTGGTGGTATACAACCACTCGTTCTACTGGTAAGTATCTTCGAATTCTGCCAAAGTATTCAATTCAGCCCTGCAGACAACTGCTCAGGTGGGAACTTCTTGTGGTGGGGTTTCTTTAGGAAGTAATTCTTCTACAATCTTTCCGTATCACTCGAGGCATTTCCTCTTATAAAAATTTTCTTAAATATTTCTCACTTTATATAAGCTACTCAGTGCTGTAGCACTCAATTGGGATAATAACCCAAAGTGAAAATAGTGATTAAGTGTCATCCCTTTGATGCTGTGTAAGCCAGAGATGAAAGAGAATATCTCTGGTTTCTCCAGGTGGTATGTTCCTCTCACTGATTGCTACTGTGCAGTGAGAGTGAGATGCGGAATAGACAGGATTTGGGGAGGGCTCATCTCACTGGCAGCAGCCCCAAACAAAAGGCCCCTGTCATGAAAGGGAGCCTCAGTTGAGTAGTTTTTAAATTAGGAGGTCTCTGGTGAGATACATAGGCTATGGTGTCAGATATGGGCTTATCACAACTGACTCATGTTTTGGGCGACCTTGAGTCTTTGAATGCAACTCCCTCTAAAGACCTGTGAAGTTCTATGATGTGTGATCAGTCTGACATTTAAATGTCAGTTACCATGTGACCTACTATGCAGTCTGATTTCTGCTGTGGTCGGACCTGATACATCACACATATATAGTATTTAAGTTTGGAGCTTGACCTCTATACCTTGTTGATTTAGTATTCTCCTGAGAATCATAACATAGAGGGTTAGTTTTCTATGATTTCAGTCACTACATTCAGCCATAGTGTTACTCACTTTGACATTGGAAATATTGGACAGTACCTGGCTGGGTCCCTAATAAGGAGTATCTCTGTGGAGTTTTGGATGGCAAAGCTCCTATGTTCTGAGGCAGGAGATAAGCACTCACCGAGCATCTGATCTGCTTAGTTTTTTGTACCTTTGTTCCAGTTTTTATGCCTTCTGATCTCACTTTTTCTTTCTCCAGATGTGCAGACACCTACCTCACCAAGGCCAGGTGAGTCCTGCTTCCTCTGAAGTCATGAGTGTCCCACTTCTCCCTATTCACCTTGACCATCTTTGACAAGTAGCTATAGAACAGAAGTGTTGGGTTTTTCTGTTTCTCCAAACCTTCCCTCAGTCTTTAGAATATGGAGGTGGTAAGATCATTCTGGCTCCTGCCCTGGGTTGAGAAATAAAAATCACTTAGTGCTTCTAGGGCACAGGGAGGATGTGACCTTGGCCATTTCTTATGGAAAACTAACATGGACCGAGAATCACATGGGTAGAGGCAGTGGAGTGAGGAACATCTGAGACTTGTCCTGTCATAGGTCCCAGGCTAAGACAAAGTAATTCTTTATCCAAGGAACAATATGTCAGACAAGAACTGTGAGTGTCTTATGGCATTGCACACCCTCTCTTTGCTTTTGCTGTGGACATTTGAGCCCATGGTTTGCTCATTGCAAGGTCTCTAGAAAAGATCTTTCTCTTTCAGCCACAGAACTTTGACTCTTCTGTCCCTGAGTCCAGTAACATGACACTAGACCCAAAGTTTAATCTCCTCTTTCCTTTTTAATTGGCTTGGTCTATTTATTTATTTATTTATTTATTTATTTTAATTTTTTTTTTTCTTTTCTCCAGATTGGTGGTATACAACAACTACAGATAGGTGGTATACAACAACTCCTTCCACTGGTAAGTATCTTTAGATTCTGACAAAATATCATATTCAACACTGCAGTCAACAGGCCTTAGGAAACTTCCTGAGTAGTGCATGCAAATCTGGTTGCTCAACACCTTATCCAATGTGGAGGAATTCCTTCACTTTGTAGTTGTGAATTTACCTTTAAAGGAGATCTGTAAGTCAGGACATTTGTTTGCCAAAGGCAGGAACCCATCACAAAGTCTCATAAGCAGTAGAAGAATTCACCGGCTCACATATCTAGAATGTTTTGTGGTTAATGAAGTACTTCAAGTATAGTTGGATCCTGAGTTCCAAGTATATTCCCCTATACTTTTCCCACTTCCAGTGTTTTATGTGTGTGGTCTTCACTAATCAACTAACTTTGTGCATCTGGTGAAAAATACAGCCATTGTCAGCCTAAGTTTACAAAGCACTGAAGGAAGAGACTGCTTGTCCAGGGATCTCAGACAGAGCAGTCCTGGGAGGACTCAGATGAGCCTGCTTGCTAATTGGTGCTCTGATGGCCTGGGCAGGATTACAAGCCCACCTTCAGTTCCCCATGCATGAAAGGGAAAAGTACACACTAGTATCTACTTGAAAAGTGTTCTATGTGTTTTTCTCATGTTTTTAATAGGAAGAATGGTTTCTGTTATAATAACAAACTGGCATGAGGCTTGAAACCCAAAAAGCACTCTCTAGTAAGAGCTTCACTTTTGAAACTTCTGCTGGTTATGGGCTTTTATAGCCTCTGACTCTCTCCCTAAATGAAATATATTCTTTTCCTGGATATTGCCAATGTCTGCCTCTTCTTGTGGAACTTTCTGCTGGTCCATTGGGACAGGCAGTGTCTGAGCTGTTAGTACAGTTTCCTTGGATGTTATCAGAGTGCCCCAACATCCCTAGTAAGCCTGATTATCTGTCTAGCTTGGGGACAGGATGAGTCCTCCCTCCTACAACAACTCCTACCCAGACTCTGGACTCTGTGAATCAAAACCGGAGGCAATGGCCAAAATCTACTACTCCTATGCCCTGTAGTCCCTAGCCCCAGTCTTCTTGGTGAGCACTGCAAATGTTGGAGTCTTCCAACATTTAGAACAAACCCAATATTGGCTAAACAGTACCCTCCAGATAAAGATACATGAGGTCATGGTTTCTAAATATCCCTAAGTACTTCCTTGTCCTCTATGTACAGGAGTCCCTGCACTATACTAGACACCTGGAAATCAACAGTGTCTTCCAGGAGGTGAAAACTTGGGAGAGTGTCTGAAACTTTCCTGCAGTGTTTTCTGACATCAGAGTACAGATGCTCAGTAAGGGAATAAGGTGGACTGGTATGATTAGCTTATACGAGGGCATGTTTTTTGTTTATTAAACTACTCAATATTGACTTTTATTTTTTGTGATCTGAAATGGATTATATAACTGAAATCACTCTTAATTTTTATTTTACTTTTTATTGTGGTAATATAGGTACAGAGTATAAAATCTACAATTTTAACATTTTCAAATTACACAGTTCATTGACATTATGTAGTGTCAGCACTAACCAGTTCCAGATACTTTTCATCACCTCAGTCCACATTCCTGTTACCCAGTCATACCCTAGTTCCCGTGAGTCAGTTAAAGGTGAAATCTTTAAAGAATCAGGCCCTAGGATTAATGCTAGGTGGTGGTGGCAGTGGTAGGGCTGGGAACCTGTCTCAGGTGCCATCTACAGCAGGTGCTGAGGTAGAACACTAGGGTCACTATGGATCCAGGCTGATAGCGGCCTTACTTTACCTTTCCACATGCCAAGGATTGGCTAGAAATTGAATATCTGGGTAGTGGAGGGACTGAAAGAATATTCTTAGCTCAGCCCATAGCCAAGGGTTTTATAGATGAACTGCTTGAGGACAGTAAGGTTTTCAACAAAGCCCATGATGCTGGAGAATATTAACCTGGGACTCAGAAGTCTGGGCCTGCTGGAAAAATTGAGAATTTGCTGTAACCTCAGAACCTCTCCTATTGGGGGACATATGAGAGAGTGAATTTTCATGACCCCTCTAGATTCTACAAGTGAGACTGCATGCATTTGACTATCATAAGGGGCACTTTCATTCTCAGACAAAGCAGTAAGCAGAGTTCAAGTCATCTGGAGTCAGGCTCTTTCTTAGCGTCGAATATTTTGCATGAGCATCCTGACAGGGCTGGAAGAGTGAGTTAATTGAGCTGTTCCTCTTACAGGTCAGAGCACTCATGTTCTAGGAAGGGAATGAGATATACATCTATTTCCTAGAGTTGACTTCAAGATGCACAAGGGGGTTTGACCACTAGAATGTGTTCTTGGCCACGCACAACCTACACGAGCTTGACTATCAACACAGAATGAAATGGGAAATAATTGTGTCTCCTGCAGGAAGTGATTCCAATTTGGCCCTGAGGCTGGTGAATGGAGGTGACCGATGTCAAGGCCGGGTGGAGGTCCTGTACCGAGGCTCCTGGGGCACCGTGTGTGATGACGATTGGGACACCAATGATGCCAACGTGGTCTGTAGGCAGCTGGGCTGTGGTTGGGCTACCGCTGCCCCAGGAAATGCCCGGTTCGGACAGGGCTCAGGCCAAATTGTCCTGGATAATGTGCGTTGCTCAGGACACGAGTCCTACCTGTGGAACTGCCCCCACAACGGCTGGCTCTCTCATAACTGTAACCACGGGGAAGATGCTGGTGTCATCTGCTCAGGTGGGACCCAGGATCTTCTTGTGGTGGGGTTTCTTTAGGAAGTAATTGTTCTACAATCTTTCTGTCTCACTCAAGGCATTTTATCTTACTAAACTTTTCTTAAAGACTTTTCACTTTATATAAGCTACTCAGTGTTAGGATAATTACCCGAAGTGAAAATGGTGAGCAAGTGTCATCCCTTTGGTGCTGTATAAGCCAGAGGCAAAAGAGAAAATTGCTGGTTTCTCCAGGCGTTGTGTTCCTCTCACTGATTTGTACTGTACAGCAAGTGTGAGACGCAGAACAAACAGGATCTGGGGAGGGTCATGTCACTGGCAGCAGCCCCAAACAAAAGGCTCCTGTCATGCCAGAGAGCCTCAGTTGAGTAATTTTTGAATTAGGAGGTCTCTGGTGAGATACATAGGCTATGGTGTCAGATCTGGGCTTGTCACAACTGACTCAAGTTTCGGGGCACCCTGAGTCTTGGAATGCAACTTCCTCTAAATATCTGTGAAGTTCTGTGATGTGCTGTGTGTGAGCTAGGCCTGGCATTGAAATGTCAGTTTCCATGAGACCTGCCATGCAGTCTGCGTTCAGTCGTGGTGGGCCTGACGCATCACCCAGAATATTTGAGGTTAGGGCTTGACCTCTGCACCTTGTTGATTTAGTGTTCTCCTGAGAATCACAAGGTGGAGGATTAGTTTTCTGTGACCTCAGTCACCACATTCAGACATAGCGTTATTCACTTTGACATTGGAGATAATGGACAGCACCTGTCAGGGTCCATAATAAGGAGTGTCTCTGTGGGGTTTTGGATGGCAAAGCTCTCATATCTGAGGCAGCAGATGAGCATTGATGGAGCATCTGATCTGCTTTGTTTTTTACCCTTTTATTCCAGTTTTATTTATTTATTTTTTCCTTGTTCCAGTTTTCTAACTTCTTATATTCCTTTTTCTTTCTAACAGATGTGCAGACACCTACCTCACCAAGGCCAGGTGAGTCCTGCTTCCTCTTAAGTCATGGGTGTCCCATTTCTCCCTATTAACCTTGACCATCTTTGACAAGTAGCTATAGAATAGGAGTGTGAGGTTTTTCTGTTTCTCCAAACCTTCCCTTGGTCTTTAGAATATGGAGGTGGTTGTAGTTGAGCCCACAACAGGTTGATCCTCTTGTCTTCCTCCATGAGGTAAGATCATTCCGGCTCCTGTCCTGGGTTGAGAAATAAAAATCACTTAGTGCTTCCGGTGGCAGAGGGAGGATGTGACCTGCCCATTTCTTATGAAAAACTGGCATGGATCGAGAATCACATGGGTAGAATCAGTGGAGTGCGGAACATCTGAGACTTGTCCTGTCATAGATCCCAGGCTAAGACAAAGTAATTCTTTATCCAAGGAACAATATGTCAGACAAGAACTGTGAGTGTCTTATGGCATTGCACACCCTCTCTTTGCTTTTGCTGTGGACATTTGAGCCCATGGTTTGCTCATTGCAAGGTCTCTAGAAAAGATCTTTCTCTTTCAGCCACAGAACTTTGACTCTTCTGTCCCTGAGTCCAGTAACATGACACTAGACCCAAAGTTTAATCTCTTCTTTCCTTTTTAATTGGCTTGGTCTATTTATTTATTTATTTAAACTTATTTTTTCTCTTCTCCAGATTGGTGGTATACAACTACTACAAATAGGTGGTATACAACAACTCCTTCCACTGGTAAGTATCTTTAAATTCTGACAAAATATCATATTCAACACTGCAGTCAACAGGCCTTAGGAAAATTCCTGAGTAGTGCATGCAAGTCTGGTTGCTCAACACCTTATCCAATGTGGAGGAATTCCTTCACTTTGTAGTTGTGAATTTACCTTTATCTAGAATGTTTTGTGGTTAATGAAGAACTTTAAGTATAGCTGGATCCTGAGTTCCAAGTATGTTCCCCTACACTTTTCCCACTTCCGGTGTTTTTTGTGTGTGGTCTTCACTAATCAACTAATTTCGTGCACCTGGAGAAAGAGACAACAGTTGTCAGCCCCGATTGTACATGCCACTGAAGGAAGAGGATATCTGTCCAGATATCTCAGGCAGCCACGTTCTGGGAGGACTCAGATGACCCTGCTTCCTAACAGGTGCTCTGATGGACTTGCCAGGATTATAAGCCCACCTTCAGATCCCCAGAGGAGAAAGGGTGAAAGTACACACTAGTATCTACTTAAAAAGTGTTATATGTGTTTTTGTCATGTTTTTAATAGGAAGAATGGTTTCTGTTATAATAACAAACTGGCAGGAATTTTGAAACCCAAAAAAGCACTCTCTACTAAGAGCTTCACTTCTGAAACTTCTGCTGATTATGGGCGTTTATAGCCTCTGACTCTCCCCCTAGATGTAATACATTCTTTTCCTGGATATTGTCAATGTCTGCCTCTTCTTGTGGAACTTTCTGCTGGTCCATTGGAACAGGAAGAGTCTGAGCTGTCATTAGAGTGTCTTTGGATGTTATCAGAGTGCCCAACATCCCTAGTAAGCCTGATTATCTGTCTAGCTTTGGGATAGGATGAGTCCTCCCTCCTATACCAACTCCTCCTACCTGGACTCTGGACTTTGTGAGTCAAAACCAGAGGCAATGGCCAAATATCCACTACTCCTATGCCCTTTAGTCCCTAGCCCCAGTCTTCTTAGTGAGCACTGCAAATGTTGGAATCTTCCAACATTTAGAACAAACCCAATATCGGCTAAACCGTACCCTCCAGATAAAGATACATGAAGTCATGGTTTTTAATACCCCTAAATATTTCCTTGTCCTCTATGTACAGGGGCACCTGCACTATGCTAGACACCTGAAAATCAACAGTGTCTTCCAGGAGGTGAAAACTTGGGAGAGTGTCTGATACTTTCCTGCAGTGTTTTCTGACATCAGAGTACAGATGCTCAGTAAGGGAATAAGGTGGACTGGTATGATTAGCTTATATGAGGGCATGTTTTTTGTTTATTAAACTACTCAATATTGACTTTTATTTTTTGTGATCTGAAATGGATTATATAACTGAAATCACTCTTAATTTTTATTTTATTTTTTATTGTGGTAAAATAGCTACAGAGTATAAAATCTACAATTTTAACAATTTAAAATTGTACAGTTCATTGACATTATGTAGTGTCAGCCATCACCACTAACTCGTTTCAGATACTTTTCATCACCTCAGTCCACATTCCTGTTACCCAGTCATACCCTAGTTCCCGTGAGTCAGTTAAAGGTGAAATCTTTAAAGAATCAGGCCCTAGGATTAATGCTAGGTGGTGGTGGCAGTGGTAGGGCTGGGAACCTGTCTCAGGTGCCATCTACAGCAGGTGCTGAGGTAGAACACTAGGATCACTATGGATCCAGGCTGATAGCGGCCTTACTTTACCTTTCCACATGCCAAGGATTGGCTAGAAATTGAATATCTGGGTAGTGGAGGGACTGAAAGAATATTCTTAGCTCAGCCCATAGCCAAGGGTTTTATAGATGAACTGCTTGAGGACAGTAAGGTTTTCAACAAAGCCCATGATGCTGGAGAATATTAACCTGGGACTCAGAAGTCTGGGCCTGCTGGAAAAATTGAGAATTTGCTGTAACCTCAGAACCTCTCCTATTGGGGGACATATGAGAGAGTGAATTTTCATGACCCCTCTAGATTCTACAAGTGAGACTGCATGTATTTGACTATCATAAGGGGCACTTTCATTCTCAGACAAAGCAGTAAGCAGAGTTCAAGTCATCTGGAGTCAGGCTCTTTCTTAGCATCGAACATTTTGCATGAGCATCCTGACAGGGCTGGAAGAGTGAGTTAATTGAGCTGTTCCTCTTACAGGTCAGAGCACTCATGTTCTAGGAAGGGAATGAGATATACATCTATTTCCTAGAGTTGACTTCAAGATGCACAAGGGGGTTTGACCACTAGAATGTGTTCTTGGCCACGCACAACCTACACGAGCTTGACTATCAACACAGAATGAAATGGGAAATAATTGTGTCTCCTGCAGGAAGTGATTCCAATTTGGCCCTGAGGCTGGTGAATGGAGGTGACCGATGTCAAGGCCGGGTGGAGGTCCTGTACCGAGGCTCCTGGGGCACCGTGTGTGATGACGATTGGGACACCAATGATGCCAACGTGGTCTGTAGGCAGCTGGGCTGTGGTTGGGCTACCGCTGCCCCAGGAAATGCCCGGTTCGGACAGGGCTCAGGCCAAATTGTCCTGGATAATGTGCGTTGCTCAGGACACGAGTCCTACCTGTGGAACTGCCCCCACAACGGCTGGCTCTCTCATAACTGTAACCACGGGGAAGATGCTGGTGTCATCTGCTCAGGTGGGACCCAGGATCTTCTTGTGGTGGGGTTTCTTTAGGAAGTAATTGTTCTACAATCTTTCTGTCTCACTCAAGGCATTTTATCTTACTAAACTTTTCTTAAAGACTTTTCACTTTATATAAGCTACTCAGTGTTAGGATAATTACCCGAAGTGAAAATGGTGAGCAAGTGTCATCCCTTTGGTGCTGTATAAGCCAGAGGCGCAAGAGAAAATCGCTGGTTTCTCCAGGCGTTGTGTTCCTCTCACTGATTTGTACTGTGCAGCAAGTGTGAGATGCAGAACAAACAGGATCTGGGGAGGGTCATGTCACTGGCAGCAGCCCCAAACAAAAGGCTCCTGTCATGCCAGAGAGCCTCAGTTGAGTAATTTTTGAATTAGGAGGTCTCTGGTGAGATACATAGGCTATGGTGTCAGATCTGGGCTTGTCACAACTGACTCAAGTTTCGGGGCACCCTGAGTCTTGGAATGCAACTTCCTCTAAATATCTGTGAAGTTCTATGATGTGCTGTGTGAGAGCTAGGCCTGGCATTGAAATGTCAGTTTCCATGAGACCTGCCATGCAGTCTGCGTTCAGTCGTGGTGGGCCTGACGCATCACCCAGAATATTTGAGGTTAGGGCTTGACCTCTGCACCTTGTTGATTTAGTGTTCTCCTGAGAATCACAAGGTGGAGGATTAGTTTTCTGTGACCTCAGTCACCACATTCAGACATAGCGTTATTCACTTTGACATTGGAGATAATGGACAGCACCTGTCAGGGTCCCTAATAAGGAGTGTCTCTGTGGGGTTTTGGATGGCAAAGCTCTCATATCTGAGGCAGCAGATGAGCATTGATGGAGCGTCTGATCTGCTTTGTTTTTTGCACTTTTATTCCACTTTTATTTATTTATTTTTTCTTTATTCCAGTTTTCTAACTTCTTACATCCCTTGTTCTTTCTAACAGATGTGCAGACACCTACCTCACCAAGGCCAGGTGAGTCCTGCTTCCTCTTAAGCCATGGGTGTCCCATTTCTCCTTATTAACCTTGACCATCTTTGACAAGTAGCTACCGAATAGCAGTGTGAGGTTTTTCTGTTTCTCCAAACCTTCCCTCCTCAGTCTTTAGAATATTTAGGTGGTTTTAGTTGAGCTCACAACAGGTTGATCCTCTTGTCTTCCTCCATGAGGTAAGATCATTCCGGCTCCTGTCCTGGGTTGAGAAATAAAAATCACTTAGTGCTTCTGGTGGCAGAGGGAGGATGTGACCTTGCCCATTTCTTATGGAAAACTAACATGGATCGAGAATCACATGGGTAGAGTTAGTGGAGTGAGGAACATCTGAGACTTGTCCTGTCATAGATCCCAGGCTAAGACAAAGTAATTCTTTATCCAAGGAACAATATGTCAGACAAGAACTGTGAGTGTCTTATGGCATTGCACACCCTCTCTTTGCTTTTGCTGTGGACATTTGAGCCCATGGTTTGCTCATTGCAAGGTCTCTAGAAAAGATCTTTCTCTTTCAGCCACAGAACTTTGACTCTTCTGTCCCTGAGTCCAGTAACATGACACTTGACCCAAAGTTTAATCTCCTCTTTCCTTTTTAATTGGCTTGGTCTATTTATTTATTTATTTATTTATTTATTTTCTTTTCTCCAGATTGGTGGTATACAACAACTACAGATAGGTGGTATACAACAACTCCTTCCACTGGTAAGTATCTTTAAATTCTGACAAAATATCATATTCAACACTGCAGTCAACAGGCCTTAGGAAAATTCCCGAGTAGTGCATGCAAGTCTGGTTGCTCAACACCTTATCCAATGTGGAGGAATTCCTTCACTTTGTAGTTGTGAATTTACCTTTAAAGGAGATCTGTAAGTCAGGACATTTGTTTGCCAAAGGCAGGACCCATCACAAAGTCTCATAAGCAGTAGAAGAATTCACCGGCTCACGTATATAGAATATTTTGTGGTTAATGAAGAACTTTAAGTATAGCTGGATCCTGAGTTCCAAGTATGTTCCCCTATACTTTTCCCACTTCCAGTGTTTTATGTGTGTGGTGTTCACTAAACTAACTTCATGCACCTGGAAAAAGAGACAATAGTTGTCAGCCCCGATTATACATGCCACTGAAGGAAGAGGCTATCTGTCCAGATATCTCAGGCAACCAAGTCCTGAGAGGACTCAGATGAGCCTGCTTCCTAACAGGTGCTCTGATGGCCTTGCCGGGATTACAAGCCCACCTTCAGGAGAAAGGGAGAAAGTACACACTAGTATCTACTTGAAAAGTGTTGTATGTGTTTTTGTCATGTTTTTAATGGGAAGAATGGTTTCTGTTATAATAACAAACTGGCATGAGGCTTGAAACCCGAAAAGCACTCTCTAGTAAGAGCTTCACTTCTGAAACTTCTGCTGATTATGGGCTTTTGTAGCCTCTTACTCTCCCCCTAGATGAAATACATTCTTTTCCTGGATATTGCCAATGTCTGCCTCTTCTTGTGGAACTTTCTGCTGGTCCATTGGGACAGGCAGTGTCTGAGCTCTTAGTAGAGTTTCCTTGGATGTTATCAGAGTACCCCAACATCCCTCAACATTTAGAACAAACCCAATATCGGCTAAACTGTACCCTCCAGATAAAGACACATGAAGTCATGGTTTCTAAATATCCCTAAATATTTCCTTGTCCTCTATGTACAGGAGTCCCTGCACTATACTAGACACCTGGAAATCAACAGTGTCTTCCAGGAGGTGAAAACTTGGGAGAGTGTCTGAAACTTTCCTGCAGTGTTTTCTGACATCAGAGTACAGATGCTCAGTAAGGGAATAAGGTGGACTGGTATGATTAGCTTATATGAGGGCATGCTTTTTGTTTATTAAACTACTTGATATTGCCTTTTATTTTTTGTGATCTGAAATGGATTATATTACTTAAATTACTCTTAATTTTTATTTTAGTTTTTATCGTGGTAAAATAGCTACAGAGTATAAAATCTACAATTTTAACAATTTCAAATTGCACAGTTCATTGACATTATGTAGTGTCAGCCATCAGCACTAACTCATTCCAGATACTTTTCATCACCTCAGTCCGCATTCCTGTTACCCAGTCATACCCTAGTCCTCTTTGCTTCCATTCCCAAGGCAACCTCTAGTCCGCTTTCAGTCTCATGGATTTTGCTATTCAGGACATTTCCTACAAATGGAACCATTGCCTTTTATTTATTTATTTATTTATTTGATTATTAGATTTTTTTTTTTCAACTTTTAGGGAGAGATTTTTGCTTTAGGGTCTTCTTTTACCTTCCACAGCATGTTCAAGGCTCATCCATGTTTAGCATGCATTAGGACATCATTTCATTTTGTTGCTGAGTAGTATTACATTTTAAGGATATACCATATTTAGTTTATGTGTTTGCCAGAAAACATTTGAGTTGTTTTCACATTTTGCTGTAGTGAATAATACTTCTGTGAGGATAAATTAGTGTGCAACTATTTATTTGAACACATATTTCCAATTCTTTTGAATGTTCATCTAGCCGTGGGATTTCTTTGTCAGATGACAAAAATTGATCTTTTATATTCTTTCATTTTAATTTTTAAAGTTTTTTCCCCCCAAAGGTGTGTGCACTTGCTAAAGAGTAACAGAGAAACAGTTAGAGAAGAAAGAAAGTTGGAAAGCACTCCCTTCCACACGGCAGGGGACGGCCAATCTCTTCTATTTCTCCTCCTTTTTATGATTTTGATCATGCATAATAAGATTTTGGGCATGCATGAACACATACCTGTTGTGTATTTCAAGCTTCTGGGTCAGGGACTTGCACTTCGAGTTGGCTATGTGGGATCCAGATGACATAACCACCATGCCACACGTGGGCTGAACATAATGGATAATTTTATGTGAACTTATAATGGAAATCCTTCATATTCTAATGGGTATGAGATGATATCACATGGTGGTTTTGATTTGTATTTCCCTAATGATTAATAATGTGATACATCTTTTTATTCATTTATTTATTTGTTTGTTTTTAATTTTTATTTTTTGGAGAGGTTTTTGCTATAGGAGACATGCGCTTGCCAGGAAGACAAGAGAGATAAAGAGACAGAAAGTGAGAAATCAACCCCAATAGTAGGGGGTTGATAATAATAGTAGATCATGATACCGATCCAGATGAATGTGTGTCCAAGATCCTGACAGGTTAATCCTTACAAATACCACGTCGCAATTTGTTCTCCTCCATTAACCTGTCAGGATCTTGGACACGCATTCATCCATGCTCAGCATGAATTTAAGCCACTGGGTCTGGGAAGCAAACAGTGGTTGACTATTTTGGAGTCTTGCAACATAGACATTCCACCATCTTTTGGTCCTTTGATTCACCTTTCAAGTTCTTGTGTATTATTTATGTATTTTCCTGGGAAAACTGGGGAATCATTTTAAAGATCCAAATCCTGAAGGCCAGAGCAGGAGGATCAGCGTCAGTGACGTAGCCCTGATCAGAGGCTAAAATAAATCGTTCAGGTGAGGACTAAGGGATCATGATACCTATCCAGAAATATATTTGGCACATATGAATTTTCTCCATGAAGGCCCAGTTTTCCTTTATTTATTTTATTCCTCCAAATTCTTCCCTCACAGGCCATGAGTATTTCTTCTTTTTATTATTATTATTTTATTTATCTTTAATTTTATATTATTATTCTTATATTAAATTGCTATACATCATTGAGATTCTGAAGAGACATTACCCAGCATGATATACACCTCAGTCAAGCCCAGGAGAGACCACCATACACCTATCAGTAGGGCAGTTAAGTGTCAGTACAGTTCCTCCTGCCCAGTTTCCCTGCCTGATTGGACAGTCCATATAATCAACGTGAGTCAGTTAAAGGTGAAATATTTAAAGAACCAGGCCCTAGGATTAATGCTAGGTGGTGGTGGCAGTGGTAGGGCTGGGAACCTGTCTCAGGTGCCATCTACAGCAGGTGCTGAGGTAGAACACTAGGGTCACTATGGATCCAGGCTGATAGCGGCCTTACTTTACCTTTCCACATGCCAAGGATTGGCTAGAAATTGAATATCTGGGTAGTGGAGGGACTGAAAGAATATTCTTAGCTCAGCCCATAGCCAAGGGTTTTATAGATGAACTGCTTGAGGACAGTAAGGTTTTCAACAAAGCCCATGATGCTGGAGAATATTAACCTGGGACTCAGAAGTCTGGGCCTGCTGGAAAAATTGAGAATTTGCTGTAACCTCAGAACCTCTCCTATTGGGGGACATATGAGAGAGTGAATTTTCATGACCCCTCTAGATTCTACAAGTGAGACTGCATGTATTTGACTATCATAAGGGGCACTTTCATTCTCAGACAAAGCAGTAAGCAGAGTTCAAGTCATCTGGAGTCAGGCTCTTTCTTAGCATCGAACATTTTGCATGAGCATCCTGACAGGGCTGGAAGAGTGAGTTAATTGAGCTGTTCCTCTTACAGGTCAGAGCACTCATGTTCTAGGAAGGGAATGAGATATACATCTATTTCCTAGAGTTGACTTCAAGATGCACAAGGGGGTTTGACCACTAGAATGTGTTCTTGGCCACGCACAACCTACACGAGCTTGACTATCAACACAGAATGAAATGGGAAATAATTGTGTCTCCTGCAGGAAGTGATTCCAATTTGGCCCTGAGGCTGGTGAATGGAGGTGACCGATGTCAAGGCCGGGTGGAGGTCCTGTACCGAGGCTCCTGGGGCACCGTGTGTGATGACGATTGGGACACCAATGATGCCAACGTGGTCTGTAGGCAGCTGGGCTGTGGTTGGGCTACCGCTGCCCCAGGAAATGCCCGGTTCGGACAGGGCTCAGGCCAAATTGTCCTGGATAATGTGCGTTGCTCAGGACACGAGTCCTACCTGTGGAACTGCCCCCACAACGGCTGGCTCTCTCATAACTGTAACCACGGGGAAGATGCTGGTGTCATCTGCTCAGGTGGGACCCAGGATCTTCTTGTGGTGGGGTTTCTTTAGGAAGTAATTGTTCTACAATCTTTCTGTCTCACTCAAGGCATTTTATCTTACTAAACTTTTCTTAAAGACTTTTCACTTTATATAAGCTACTCGATGTTAGGATAATTACCCGAAGTGAAAATGGTGAGCAAGTGTCATCCCTTTGGTGCTGTATAAGCCAGAGGCGAAAGAGAAAATCGCTGGTTTCTCCAGGCGTTGTGTTCCTCTCACTGATTTGTACTGTGCAGCAAGTGTGAGACGCAGAACAAACAGGATCTGGGGAGGGTCATGTCACTGGCAGCAGCCCCAAACAAAAGGCTCCTGTCATGCCAGAGAGCCTCAGTTGAGTAATTTTTGAATTAGGAAGTCTCTGGTGAGATACATAGGCTATGGTGTCAGATCTGGGCTTGTCACAACTGACTCAAGTTTCGGGGCACCCTGAGTCTTGGAATGCAACTTCCTCTAAATATCTGTGAAGTTCTATGATGTGCTGTGTGAGAGCTAGGTCTGGCATTGAAATGTCAGTTTCCATGAGACCTGCCATGCAGTCTGCTTTCAGTCGTGGTGGGCCTGACGCATCACACAGAATATGTGAGGTTAGGGCTTGACCTCTGCACCTTGTTGATTTAGTGTTCTCCTGAGAATCACAAGGTGGAGGGTTAGTTTTCTGTTATTTCAGTCACCACATTCAGACATAGCGTTATTCACTTTGACATTGGAGATAATGGACAGCACCTGTCAGGGTCCCTAATAAGGAGTGTCTTTCTGGAGTTTTGGAGGGCCAAGCTCTCACAAACTGAGGCAGCAGATATGCATTGATGGAGCATCTGATCTGCTTAGTTTTTCATACTTTTATTCCACTTTTCTTTTTTTTTTTTCCTTGTTCCAGTTTTCTAACTTCTTATATCCCTTTTTCTTTCTAACAGATGTGCAGACACCTACCTCACCAAGGCCAGGTGAGTCCTGCTTCCTCTTAAGTCATGGGTGTCCCATTTCTCCCTATTAACCTTGACCATCTTTGATAAGTAGCTACCGAATAGAAGTGTGGGGTTTTTCTGTTTCTCCAAACCTTCCCTCGGTCTTTAGAATATGGAGGTGGTTGTAGTTGAGCCCACAACAGGTTGATCCTCTTGTCTTCCTCCATGAGGTAAGATCATTCTGGCTCCTGCCCTGGGTTGAGAAATAAAAATCACTTAGTGCTTCTGGTGGCAGGGGGAGGATGTGACCTTGGTAATTTCTTCTGGAAAACTGGTGTGGGCTGATAATCACGCGGGTAGAGTCAATGTGGTGGGGAACATCTGAGACGTCTCCTGTCTTAGATCTCAGGCTAAGACAACGTAATTCTTTTACTAAAGAACAATCTGTCAGATGAGAACTGTCAGTGTCTGATGGAGTTTTACCCTGACATTGCTGTTGCCGCGGACACTTGAGGGCACGGTTTGATCATAGTAAGGTTTCTAGAAAAGATCTTTCTCTTCCATCCGTAGAGCTTTGACTCCTTTGTCCCTGAGACCAATTACATGACACTAGACCCAAAGTTTATTCTCCTCACCCCTTTTTAATAGGCCTGGTTTTTACTGATTCTTTTATTTTTTTTCTTTTCTCCAGATTGGTGGTATACAACAACTCCTTCCTATGGTAAGTATCTTTGGATTCTGCCAAAATATCATATTCAACACTGCAGTCAACAGGCCTTAGGTAAATTCCTGAGTAATCCATGCACATCTGTTTGCTCAACACCTTATCCAATGTGGAGGAATTCTTTCACTTCATAATTGTGAATTTTCTTTTAAAGGAGATGTATAAGTCAGGACATTTGTTTGCAAAAGGCAGGAACCCAGCCTAATGTCCAATAAGCAATAGAAGAATTCACCAGCTAATGTATCTAGAATGTTTTGTGGTTAATGAAGAACTAAGTATAGCTGGATCCTGAGTTCCAAGTATGTTCCCCTACACTTTTCCCACTTCCAGTGTTTTATGTGTGTGGTCTTCACTAATCAACTAACTTTGTGCACCTGGTGAAAAAGACAGCAGTTGTCAGCCCAAGTTTACATACTACTGAAAGAAGAGGCTATTTGTCCAGATATTTCAGGAAGCCATGTCCTGGGAGGACTCAGATGAGCCTGCTTCCTAACAGGTGCTCTGATGGCCTTGCCAGGATTACAAGCCCACCTTCAGATCCCCATGGGAGAAAGGGAGAAAGTACACACTAGTATCTACTTGAAAAGTGTTGTATGTGTTTTTGTCATGTTTTTAATGGGAAGAATGGTTTCTGTTATAATAACAAACTGGCATGAGGCTTGAAACCCGAAAAGCACTCTCTAGTAAGAGCTTCACTTCTGAAACTTCTGCTGATTATGGGCTTTTATAGCCTCTTTCTCTCCCCCTAGATGAAATACATTCTTTTCCTGGATATTGTCAATGTCTGCCTCTTCTTGTGGAACTTTCTGCTGGTCCATTTGGGACAGGCAGTGTCTGAACTGTCATTAGAGTGTCCTTGGATGTTATCAGAGTTCCCCAACATCCCTAGTAAGCCTGATTATCTGTCTAGTTTTGGGACAGGATGAGTCCTCCCTCTTACAACAACTCCTCCTATCTGGACTCTGGACTCTGTGAGTCAAAACTGGGGGCAATGGCCAAATATCTACTACTCCTATGCCCTTTAGTCCCTAGCCCCAGTCTTCTTGGTGCGCATTGCAATGTTGGTGTCTTCCAATATTTAGATAAAACTCAATATCAGCAAAGCCATACCCTCCAGATAAAGATACGTGAAGTCATAGTTGCTAAACATCTCTAAATATTTTCGTGGCCTCTATGTGCGGGGTCCATGCACTGGACTAGACACCTAGAAATCAACAGTGTCTTCCAGTCCATGTAGGGGAAAACTTGGGAGAGTGTCTGATACTTTCCCACAGTGTTTGCTTTTTCTTTTTTCTTTTTTTTTTTTTTTCCTTTTTTTGTGGGGCAGGGGAGTTTTTTGCTATAGGGCGAGTGTACTTTTCAGAAAGACAGAGAGAGACAGCGAGATAGAAAGCGAGAAGTAATCCCCCCCCTGCCCCCCAGGGAGGATGGCCAAAATGCTATCCCTTATCCTCCATTCTCCTCTCGGGATCTTGGGCATGCATGCACATGCACCCAGCATGAGTTTAAGCCACCAGTTCCGGGACTCACACCACGGTCGGCTACTTAGGAGTTCAGTGACATAGCCATTAGACTAACTGCTGATCCCGCCCACCCCACCCCCCTGCAGTGTTTTTTGACATCAGAGAACAGATGCTCAGTAAGGGACTAAGGTGGAATGATATGATTAGCGTATACAAGGGCCTATTTTTTGTTTATTAAACTACTTAATATTGCCTTTTATTTTTAATGATCTGAAATGGATTATATAAATGGAATTACTGTTCATGTTATTTTTGTTTTATTTTTTATTGTGGTAAAAATAGGTACGGAGTATAAAATTTACAATTCTAACCATTTCCAATTGCACAGTCCATTGACATTATCTAGTGTCAACCATAATCACTAACTCGTTCCAGAAACTTTTCATAATCTCAGTCCTCATTCCTGTTAAGCAGTCATGTCCCAGTCTCCTTTGCTTCCAGCCCCAAGGCAATCTCTAATCCGCTTTCAGTCTCATGGATTTTCCTATTCAGGACATTTTCTACAAATGGAACCATTGCCTTTTTTGTGTTCTTTACTTTCCACAATTTGTTCAAGGCTCATCCATGTGCAGCATGCATCAGGACCTCATTCCATTTTGTTGCTAAGTCGTATTACATTATATGGATATACCATATTTAGTTTATGTGTTCGTTGATAAACATTTGAGTTGTTTTCACATTTTGTTTAGTGAAAAATGGTGTTATGAGCATTAATTAGTGTGCTATAATTTATTTGATTAAGTATTTCCAGTTTTTTTGAGTGTTCATTTAGCAGTGAGATTTCTTGGTCATATGATCTTTTTCTGTCATTTTAACTTTTTAAAGTTTTTTTCCCAAAGGTGTATGCACTCGCCGGAGAGTAACAGAGAAACAATGAGAAAAAAAAGAAAGTGAGAAAGCACTCCCTCCCACCACTCAGCAAATGGCCAATCTCTTCTGTTTCTTCTCCCTTTCAAGATTTTGGGCATTTAGGAACACATGCCTGTTGTGTTTTTCAAGGTTTTGGTTCAGGGACTTGCACTTAAAATTGACCATATGGGGTCCAGTTGACATAACCACCATGCCACACGCAGGTCTAACACTGGATAATTCTACATGAACTTATTATGGAAACCCTTAATATTCTAATGGGTTTGAAACGATATCAAATGTTGGTTTTCATTTATATTTCCTTAATGATTAATAATGTGATTCATCTTTTGAAGTGCTTGTGTGTTATTTGTGTATTTTCCTGGGAGAACAGGGGAATGATTTTAGAGATGCGAAAATGAGTGCCAGAGCAGGCAGACCAGAGTCAGTGGTTTAGCCCTGCCCAGAGGCTAACAAGGCAGGTCCTGGTGGGAATGAGGGATCATGACTCCTTTACAGAGGTGTATTTGGCATATATGAGTTTTCTCCATGGAGGCCCAGTTTTCCCCCCCTTTTTTTTTTCTCCATATTTTGCCCTCTCAGGACATGGGTACTTCTAAGTGTGACAGTTACATGTCAGTACAGTTACTCCTGCCCAGTTTCCCTGCCTGATTGGACAGTCCATATAATCAACATGAGTTAGTTAAAGGTGATATCTTTAAAGAATCAAGTCCTAGGATTTCTGCTAGATGGTGGTGGTGGTGGTGGTGGTGGTGGTAGTGCTGGGAAGCTGTGTTTGATAGCACTTATAGTGGGTACTCAGGTTGATCACTAAGATCACTATGGATCCAGGCTGATAGCTGGATCCTACTTTACCTCTCCACATGCCAAGTCTTGGCTAGAAATTGAATTTGGGGGGCGGGGGGGGGTTGGGGCTGAAAGAATATTCTTAGCTCAGCCAATATCCAAGGGTTCTATAGATCAACTGCTTGAGGAAAACATGAGGACAATAAGGTTTCAGACAGAGCCCCTGATGCTGGAGAATATTAACCTGGAACTCAGAAGTCTTGGCCTGCTGGAAAAATTTAGAATTTGCTCTTACCTCAGAACCTCTTCCTTTGGGAGACATAGGAGAGAGTGACTTTGCATGACCCCTCTTGATTCTACAGGTGAGACTAGATATATTAGGCTACCAAAAGGGGCAGTTTCATTCTAAGGCATAGCAGTAAGTAGAGTTGAATTCATCTGGAGTCAGGCTCTTTCTTAGCATTGAGCAGTGAGCATTTGGGAAGAATGTCCTAAGAAGGCAGGAAAAGTGAGATAGTTTGAGTTGTTCCCCTTATAGGTCAGAGCTCTCATGGTCTAGGAAGAAAATGAGATCTACTTCTATTCATAGAGTGGACTTCAACATACACAAGAGGCTTTGGCCACTAGAACGTGTTCTTGGCCACGCACAACCTATACAAGCTTGACTGTCAACACAGAATGAAATGGAAAATAATTGTGTCTCCTGCAGGAAGTGATTCCAGTTTGGCCCTGAGGCTGGTGAATGGAGGTGACCGATGTCAAGGCCGAGTGGAGGTCCTATACAGAGGCTCCTGGGGCACCGTGTGTGATGACGATTGGGACACCAATGATGCCAACGTGGTCTGCAGGCAGCTGGACTGTGGTTGGGCTACCTCTGCTCCAGGAAATGCCTGGTTTGGACAAGGCTCAGGTCAAATTGTCCTGGACAATGTGCGTTGCTCAGGACACGAGTCCTACCTGTGGAACTGTCCCCACAATGGCTGGCTCTCTCATAACTGTAACCACGGGGAAGATGCTGGTGTCATCTGCTCAGGTGGGACCCAAGATCTTCTTGTGGTGGAGTTTCTTTAGGAAGTAATCCTTCTACAATCTTTGTCTCACTCAAGGCATTTTCTCTTATTAAAATTTTCTTAAAGACTTCTCATTTTTTATAAGCTACTTGGTGTTGCAGTAGGATAATAACCTAAACTGAAAATGGTTATCAAGTGTTGTCCCTTTGATGCTGTATAAACCAGAGGTGAAAGAGAATATCGCTGGTTTCTCCAGATGTTGTGTTCCTCCCATTGATTGGAACTGTGCAGCAAGAGTTAGAGGCAGAACAGACAGGATTTGGGGAAGGTCATCTCACTGGCAGCAGTCCCAAATAAAAGGCTCTTGTCATGCAAGGGAGCCTCAGTCCAGTTGTTTTTAATTAAGGGAGTCTCTGATGAGGTACATAGGCTATAGTGTCAGATCTGGTCTTGTCACAACTGACTCGTGTTTTGGGGGGCTATGCGTCTTTGAATCCAATTTCCTTTAAAGATCTGTGAAGATCGGTAATGTGCTATGTATGAGCCAGGTCTGGCAGTTAAATGTCAGTTCCCATGAGGTCTGCCATGCAATCTGATTTCTGCTGTGGTTGCCCCTCATACATCACACATAAGTTTTGAGTTTGGAGATGGACCTCTCCATCTTGCTTATTTAGTGTTCTCCTGAGAACAACAAGGCAGAGGGTTAGTTTTTTGTGATCTCAGTCACCACATTCAGCCATAGCGTTAATCACTTTGACATTGGAAATAATGGACAGGACTTACTGGGTCCCTAATAAGGAATTTCTCTCTGGGGTTTTAAATGGCAAAGTTCCCATGTTCTGAGGCCAGAAATAAGCATTGAATAAGTAACCTACCTGCATAGTTTATTGCACCTTTGTTCCAGTTTTTATGGCTTCTTGTCTTCCTTTTTCATTCTCACAGATGTGCAGACAACATCCTCAACAAGGCCAGGTGAGTCCTGCCACCTCTTAAGTCATGGGTGTCCCTTTATTCACTATTAACATTGACCATCCTTGACATGTAGCTACAGAACAGGAGTGTTGTATTTTTCTGTTTCTCTAAATCTTCCCTGGGTCTTTAGAATATGAAGATGGTTCTACTTGAGCCCACAACAGGTTGATCGTCGTCTTGCTAATGAGATAAGAGCATTTGGGCTCCTGCCCTGAGTTGAAAAATGATAATCACTTAGTGCTTTTGGTGGCTGAAAGAGGATGTGACTTTGGTCATTTTTTCTGGAAAACTAGTGTGGGCCGAGAATCACATGGGTAGAGTCAGTGGGGTGAGGAACATCTGAGACTTCTCCTGTCATAGATCCCAGGCTAATAACAAGTAATGTTTTTACCAAAGAACAACCTGTCATATGAGAACTGTGATTGCCTTATGCCATTGCATACCCTCTCATTTCTGTTGCTGTGGACATTTGAGAGCGTGGTTTGCTCATTGCAAGGTCTCTAGAAAAGATCTTTCTCTTCCAGCCATGGAACTTTTTTTTTTTTTTT